TTGAATTGTCTCAAAAATGTTTTACATCCTCATTTGAAATAGGAGAGTCCCTTACTCTGCCTTTTGCCCCATTGCCTATTATAGCTCCATCTTACATTGCCTGTGACTTCCCTTACGCGTTCGATGTTTCCCTCCCTAGAACTTGAGTTTCAGCAGGCAGGCAGTCCTTCTGCCTTGTCCACTCCTGTACACTGATCATCCGGACAAGTCCAAGGACACGGGCCCAGGACATATTTACTGAAGAAACACGGGCAACGTGGGCACAGGTTACTATTGAAACACGGGTAGCAGGTGGGTGTCTGACCAGCCCGCAGGCCCGTGGCGTGTTTGATGAGGAAAGTTTTCTCCGGGGGAGATCACGCTTGAGCAACAGCGTGGGGCGGAGCGGAAGGGAAGGCCCTGAATGGCGGTGACAGCGGCCTGTGCACGTGTCGGGGCTTGTCGGGAGGCTCGAGACCTGAGTGGTGCGGAGACGGCATTCGGGGTGGTGCCCTTCGGCTGTGGAGACGCAGGGGGGAGGGATGCACTGAATGTAAGAAATGCAAGAAAGTGTCTGGCGTGGAAAACCAGGGGGTCAAAGCTAGAGAGTGAAGGACGCGAAGCCAGGAAGGGGCAGATCACAAGCAACAAAATGGGAGTCAGTGCCTCGGACAGCTCCCTGGGTCCAAAGGCAGGAAGGAGAGAGTCGGGTTTCAGAGATCATGACCGAGACGTAGAGCACACTGCGTGTGTTGACAAAGTCAGGGTAGGTCGCGGGTGGGGGTCGCTGCAGTGGGTCGTGTCTGAAGGTTACTGGAATCAATTTTGAGGGCAGTTTAAAATATTAACTTGATAGAATTAGTGAGAATTTAAAATTCCTTTCAGAGCGAATGCCTATCTGTAAATGAATGGTTAAACATGTTTCAAAAACAAGGTCACATGCAAATGGCGTTCATGACATTTTTGGATTCTCCACGTCTTGGACTTCTATTTATCTTTGACCGTATTCTTGCACAAAAGTTCATTTCATCAATGCAATGTATTACTGTTCCTCAGAACACATATGGTGTGAGAGATACAAAGATATATGCAAAGAAATCTCTGTTTTGATAAACTGGTGAAGATGAGCACTAGTTAAGACAGGCAAACAACATTATAAGAAGTTTACATTATTTTGAACATACAAGAGAAACAGCTGAGAGAACCAGAGAAGGCGTCGGGAAAGTTATATTTGAGCAGCATCTGGAAGAATCCGTAGAATTTCACCCATCGCAGGGGATGCGGTGGAAGTTCAGAAGGAGACAAACTCCGAGAGAAAGCAGCGGAGACCGTCAGGTGTGGGCAAGCACTTTGGGAAGCAACTGAGCAGGCTCCGTGGAGACAAGACGCCGTCTACACTGATTGTGGAGATAGACAGACGGAAGGGGAAGGTGGGTAGAGAATCTGGGGACAGGAATAGGAGTTTGGGCTTGAGTCCCTGAAGGTTTTCAAGATGGCCAGTCACATGATCAGCAAAATATGCAGAATGGCATGGAAGCAAATTAGAAGCAGGAAAACCAACTAAGGGGTTATTGTAATGGTCCCACAAAGAATGAAAATAAAAGCCTAAAGTAGAATAATAGACTTCTGAGCTCAGGAAGGTGTAGACATGAGAAACATATGGTGGTTTGTAGACCTTATAGATATTTCATTTGGGGGGCATTTGGACAGAAGGACATTGAATATGCCTTCTTGATTTCAGCTGGGCTATTGTGGCGCTTCCACAGAAATAGAAAAATCATTGGAAAGGTAATAGGCAGACCAGGGTTGACTCTGCTGATTTAATTTAAAATGCTGCAGATAAATGAAAGTGGGGAAGTAGCGTACTGCAAGCTAAACGTTGAGCTTGGAATCGAGGACTGCAGCCACAATTAGGGATTCAGATCCAGCAACCATCTTCATAGCGAGGAGAGTCAAAAATTTCAGGATGATTGAATCAATGAGTAGAGAGCAGAGACAGCTAAACACAGAACACATCTTTGACAAGAGAGGTTGCCGTCGGCAGGTTGAGAGAGGAAGAGGAGCCAGTTCGGGAGACAACTGAGGAGTGTTTGGGAAGAACGGGTGGAGGATGCTGACACCCGGATCTGGAAGCCAAAGCGGAGAGATCTCAAGAGAGAAGCCGTGGTTGGTGACTCAGAGGTCCGTAGTGGTTTGGGGAGAATAATTTCCGTGTGATATTCAGTAGACCTACTCACTGGAACAGGTTCCTGTTGAATCCCGGTTGCAAGGGATACATTTGAGGAGTGAGTGAATTCTGAGGAAGTAGAGGCATCGAGACAGGCTCCAGCGCTAAATGGTGGGGTTCAGGTGGTTGGGCATCATCCCGCCAGGCAAAACGTCACCTGTTCACTCTCCAGTTGGGGCCTGTGCCTGGGTGGCGGGTTTGGTCTCAGATCAGGGACTGTGCCAGAGGCAGCTGATCGGCGTTTCTCTCCCTCTCTTTCTCCCTCCCTTGCCCTCTCTCTAAAAAGTAAAATGAAATCTTAAAAAAATGATATGCTCCATTTCCATAATTATTGCAGTAAAGTAAGGGGACCAGTGGCATGGAAACTTGAAACAGACACATCGCAAAGAGGGAGTGCAGAAATCGGGTGTGTCCGTGACCCAGACAGGAAGGGACTCCACAGCATAGAGGAGAAGACTGACGATGGAAGCTAGGAAGTTCAGGAGAGAGGGAAGTCAAGAGCGCAGGTGAAAGATGAGAGATCGTTGCAGGAAAGAATGTGTCCTTCGTCCACTATTCAAAGAGAGAAGCGAAAAGGCCAGAAAGAATCGATACTCGAAGGAGCCCCTCTGCTTGTTTGGTCCTGGTTGCAGTAATCAATAACAAGATAACGCTGATTATTCAGGGGATTCTCTTTTCCAGGAACTGTGCTTACTGGTTTCCATGAGCTCATTCCGTCTCCCCAGCAGCTCAGTGCAGTGTGTGCTGTGAACGCTCTCTCATTCTAACGTAGAAAACGGGATCTTTAGAGAACATTACTTGTTCAGGGCCCTCGGTGAGAGGCGGGCCGGTGACTCACACCTGAGACTCCCTGGCTCCCGAGCCCGTGCCCTTGACCGCAGCACTGGGCGCGTGGGCTGGCAGTGGGGGGAGGCAGGGGTTTCCCAGCAGCCGTGTGATTCACTCAGACAGTCTGGCTCGGGAGTGTATTTGGCCTCATTTTGTGGCATCCTCCAGCAGAATCTGGCAGCCCGAGGGCAGAGAGGACGGTAGAGAATTTCAGGAACTGCGAGACGGATTTCACGAACGGACAAAGGAGACGAAAATTGGGAAGTGGGTGCTGACATGTATTTGAAGCCGCTGACACCGGCTTCCCGTGTGGGGCGAGGAAGAAGAGAACTCCAGCGAGACGCGCTAATTGGAGGCTCAGGGAATCACCGCGGGCTCGAACTTCACAGGAAGGACAAGGGCAGAATGAATAGGCGGGAAAGAAGGAAAAACTGGGTTCAAAGAGGAATTCCATTCCTTCGAAAACATCGAAGTGTCAAACCGGGGGCAACGCGATAAGCCCGGGATATCCAAGGGCCAATTAGACGTAGTGGTGCCTGAGAGACAAGGCTGAACATGCCCGGCATCAAGCAGAGATGAGGGGCGGAGACCAAGGGCAGGCAGGGCCCGGGGTCTGGAGACGGACAGGATATGGCTTCTTGCTTTTGCTTTTTGTACGTGGTGATCAGTGATGCTTAAGAACTGTTTGTTTACAACTCCTGTGAAACAAAATAACAACCTCATAGATGCAGACAACAGTATGGTGATTACCAGAGGGAAGGGGGGCGGGGGAGGTAGGAGAGGGGAAAGGGGAGTTGAATAGTAAAGAAAGGAGACTTGACTTGGGGTGGGGTTCACACACACTACAATGTACACGTGATGTGTTACAGAACTGTACCCTGAAACCTATATAATGTTAGTAACCACCTGTCACCCCAATAAATTCAATAAAATTTGTAAAAATCTATGAATTCTCTCATGTCCTATCAAGGAAAAACGATTCTTGAAACTTTTTTGAACTTAGAACTTTATATATTTTGATCCATGCCGTTCATAAGAGAATTTTATGTCTGAAGAACTCTTTGAAACAAGACATTATAATAATTTTAAAGGAAGAAAATTTTTTCAGAATGATTCTTATTAGAATAATAATTCTTATATGTCATAATACATTATTTCTAGTTATTTTAAAATTATTTTCTGGGTAAAGAAATAGGATTGTTTTATTTATTAATATGCTGCTGGGCATATCTACTTTTCTCTCCACATTTAGTTTTCTTTTTAAAAGAGTTTTTGTTGCCTTTGGTCCTCAGCTGGTACTTCCCGTTGGCTCTTGGGCCCAGGGCGGGCCCCCTGGTGGGGGTCCCTGGGCAGTGCTTGGCCAGAGACAGGGGACAAGTATGGCGGGGGGTGGGGACCTGGTGGAGCCTCCACCACTCAGAGCTCATTGTCCTGCCTGGGCCCCAGTTCCGTCACTGGGCCCCTGGGAGGGTCCTGGGGAAGTCCAGTCCCTCACGATGCCTACAATATCTGGCCTGGCTCTCTCCCAGGGGACTGCCATCCCAGCACCCCCTGCACAGCCCCCCATTTGTTTTGTTAAAACTTCCTAACACCATATTCCCCATTTGTTTTGTTAAAACTGCCTAAAACCTCTGTGGGTACAGAAACCACATACTGATCAGCAGAGAAAAGGGAAGATTGGCGGAAGCAAAACAAGCCATTGGGGCCAGTTCTCCTCCTTGCTCAGGTTTCTTCTCCCCTCAACGGCTTGTCCCAAGATCTGCTGGGAAATCTGCTACCGGGATGTGTCTTGGTGGGGACCCGCACCCCACAGCATCTGGGTCTGGCCTTCACAGACCCTCAGCTGGAAGCACTTGAACACATAGAAAAACAAGATGAAAACACAGGAGAACCTGAAATCCCAGATGGGGAGATGATGTGGGGAGACACCCCATGAGGGAGGCCTCCATAGCCTGCCCCCGCCTTGTTAGTAGGGGTGGTACTCGGGGGCCTTCCCAGGGCTTGGGCAGTGGCCAGCTGACCCCGGAACTCTGTCGGCCACTGGGCCTTGTGGGCAGTACTTGGGGTCGTGTACCTTCCAGCCCAGGCCACGGACCAGGCCACGCTGGTTGGCGCCCTGTGTGCAGCGCATCCGCAGAGACACGGAAGAGTTGTCGCACCTGTCAGTTCCTAGCTTGGTGTCATAGATGTGCCACCGGGTCCCAGGAGCCATCATGCCCACCTGGCTGGCACACCTGTTAATGCCCATTTGCAGGCTGATGGTTGAGTGGCCCATGAGTGGCAGGATATGGCTCCTGGGGTTGTACAGGTGCCTTCTCGTGCCATCTGCCATCATGCCCGCCTGGCTGGCACTCGTGCTGGTGCCCATCTGGAGCCCAGTGACGCACTGGCCCACCCTCACGGTGGAGCCGTCAGGGCCCTGCTGCTGCTTCTCTGCGTGCTCAGTGCCAATGGCCTTGCTGCTCTACAGCCTGTTGTCTTGTCCTTCCCCGCCAGTGCCAGCAGACGCCTGCACCCGCCTCACGTCCCCACTCTCAAACAGCTCACGCCGTGGCCGACCATTGGGGTCGTCAACCATTGGGGTCATCAAACAATAAGTGGAAGGGGTCAGGAAAAGGAATGTTCTCGAGCGATTGAAGGCAGGAAGGGATGTGGCTGGTGCAAACTGGAGCAGAGCTTTCAAACCAACCATGTGAAGCAGGAGAGAAAAATCCTGTCTTTACTACTAGGAACCAGTCAGAAGGTATCCGTGACAGGTGGCAGGGCCGTGAAACAGAGCCGCCCAAGCTGGCGGCCGGCAACACCGTTCGGGGTTGACAGATGCCTCTTTCCCAGAGCAATTTCCTTCTTGGAGGGTGGAAGTGGACGGCAAACAAATCAAGGCAAGGAACTTCCTCCCGAGGACTAAAAAGAACCTACAATTTCGGAGACCAGCCATCCAGGAAAAATGAAACTGCGGACATGGGTCCCTCCCCTACCTGTTTAGCTCCTGTTCCCGCAGGCTCCGCGACCACCTCCACCAGCAGCCCCTGGCCACGCGCAGATGGCTCGCTGTCGGCCAGGGCTGGACACGGAGCTCGATGTCTGAGGACACGGGGGAACGTGAGACACGAGGAGGCCTGAGGACGTGTTTGTTAGGAATTCCCGAGCTACAGGAAGATAAAAGGGACCTTCTGAAGGTGTCCTGAAGACAGGTTTGGTGGTGAGGTTACGGGAGCAAGGGATTTCATGGCGCGCATACGTCAGGAGTACTTGACATATTTGGGGGTTTTGGTTTTCATTGGTAAGCCTTCGGTCCTCTACATCCTTCCATTCTGCACGTCATACTTCCGTCTACGTTGCAACACTCGAACACAACCATGGCGGGAAGCACCTCCCCCCGTGTTGAACCAGTGAGAGTAATCCGAAGACCCCCAAGCAGTCACGGGCTTGCAGCTGACTCCAGCTAACCTTCCCGGAACACCAACATCTCATGAAAAGCAGCCACTGAGTGAGAATATCGTTTACCATACACTCAACGATGGACTCAGGCCCAATGTAACTTAATCCCGACCGGGTGTGGGAAACCGTTAACCCCCAGCCATGCTAGATGGCCCTGAGAGCTATTTTACTTCGGATCTGTTGACTTCTTGGGGGAAGCCCGCCATGTGCTCTGTCAGGGTCCCCCTGCAGGGGTGTCTCAGAAAGGTGCACAGTGCGTGTCTCAGCGGGGAGTGGTCATCAAGCTAACAGCCCGTTCTAGGGACTGAACGGAGCCTCTGAATGCAATGGTGTCGGGGATGCCAGGGGGAGGCACTGTAAACGCCGGGGCTGCTGGCTTTCCCGCACCTGAGGCTGGAGCTGCACTCATGTGCTTTCACAAAGGAGCTGCTGGCAGCAGCCAGGATCTATGGGACCGCCCCGCCGATGTCTGACATTGCCTCTGAGGATCCATGAATAATTCAGAACCAGAAATAATCTGTCTCTGGCTTGGGCAGAGGAGCACAACCAGGAGATGATGTGCTGGGATCGTCTTAACTTTGCATGGGCCGCTTTTGCCTTCACTGTCTCGTCGGATCAACAGCAACCAGCGAGGATCAAGGGAACGCTCACACCGCCAGATCTCTCCTGTTTTCTGAGTGGAAGCGGGGAGAGGGCTGGGCTCCTTGAGCAGCCAGGGGAGGAGTCGCTATCTTTCCCCCTATAAACTGGAGGTGGTTTATAAACCACCTTGACTTGACTGGTAAGTCGACCCACAGAAACCAGGGTCTAGGCTGTCTCGGAGAAATGACTTTCGCAGCCACAGTTCCTCTTAATACTTTGGTGTTCAATACAGGAATGGCAGGCATCTGATTTCCTATACCACTGCTGAACTATTGGTTGAAACAAACATACATTTACAAATGACATGGGCAACATTTAACTCAGAGGCCGGCAGTAGTGGCGAAACTCAAGTACCTGCATCCACATCGTAGGTTTCAGTATTTCCGGCAGTGCACTGCCTGGCCACGTGTGCCCATCGTTTGTCTCACGTGTTCTGTATTACCAAGGAGATTGTTTCAGAGGTCATTGCTTTTGGTGTCCCTATTATATGTGTAGGAAAACTCAGGCCCAATGAAGTGAAATAGTTTTATCGATGATGAAAAAGGTAAGAAATGGAAAGGTTGTTTTAGGATGTAGGAGCCTTTGATTTTAGGGTAATAATCTTTCATGATTATAAGTGGCTCCTGCCATATTTACAACAAATCAATAAAATCATGGGAAAAAAACCCTCACTTTTCAGATCCTGCAAACTGCAGCAAGAGTAAATCTCTTTCCTAAGCCATGCCAGGTGATGGGCGGAGATTGCACAGCCCTCTTGACGGAAGCCAAGCTTCTGACAGAAGAAATAAGTGTCTGCTCTGGAAATCGGGCAGCTAGACTCACCTCCATGGTCTTCACCGGCGTCAGCGACCACACTTTGAATATGACATAGATATACGAGCGTATACGCACATACACACACCATCTATATGACTCGTACACATGAACTCAGGATATGATGTGCATCTACGCACACCCATGGACATGTTGGCTTTAAACTGAACCGGCACGGGACTTTGATTGGGGCACTTGTTCATTATTTTTTTTACATTCCATTTGTTTCAGATTTTATGTTCTTCATTTTGAAATAGAAATGTTCAGTGCTCTAAGCATTTTCTGTGACAAAAAAAGATGAAAAACTGAGCTAAATGATACATGTGACTGACACGTGAGCTTCTTGCAACTATAGTAGGAATGGAAGCTTTCAGTTTTAAAAAAAATTTTGCTATGGGATCCAGATAAAATCATAACCTGGTTGAGGTATTTAGACAATAATATAAATATGGTAAAAAGGGGGGATGTCAAAGGAATTTTAAGTTTTTCATCTCTGCAAAAATGAGACTTAAAATCCACCTGCTCACACACACACTTACCAATCACACGCCAATCACTTGATTCGATTATTAGGGATATTTCTATATACACAACGCAGAAGCATCGTAAAGACAGTGCATTCTCTGCCCGGGCAGTACTGACTGCACACCGTGGAGTGTGGATTTCAACGTTTTCCTTACTCCTGCTAACTGTGTGACCTGACCTGATCTTATCTGTGCAGACTACCGAGAAAAACAACCCAGGTCACCGTGACTTTGATCGTTCTTTCTGCAGTTTTAATGAGCAGAATTGCAGAAGGGGCCGCCTGCTCCCAGCAGAGCTAGCAAAGGGCAGTCCCCAGATGGCTTCCAAACAACACACTTGTACATATTCATTCTAAAGGCCTTCCTTCCTCCCTCCCTTCCTTCCTCCCTCCCTTCCTTCCTCCCTCCCTCCCTCCCTCCCTCCCTCCCTTCCTTCCTCCCTCCCTCCCTTCCTTCCTCCCTTCCTTCTTTCCTCCCTCCCTCCCTCCCTTCCTCCCTCCCTCCCTCCCTCCCTTCCTTCCTCCCTCCCTCCCTTCCTTCCTCCCTTCCTTCCCTTTCCCTCCCTCCCTCCCTCCCTTCCTTCCTCCCTCCCTCCCTCCCTCCCTCCCTTCCTTCCTTCCTTCCTTCCTTCCTTCCTTCCCTTCCTTCCTTCCTTCCCTCCTCCCTCCCTCCCTCCCTCCCTCCCTCCCTTCCTTCCTTCCTTCCTCCTTCTTCTTTTCCTTTTTTACAGCACGTATCATTCACATCCTGTGGTGTCAAAAATTTTCAGAACTTGTACCATTGTCTCTTTGGCTAAATTGTAATGAAAAGGGGCAGAGGCCCCTGGTCAGTCTGGCCCATTTTGTCGTTATCTAGTTTGAGCTCAGGAGGTTCCTTTTGCAACAGGAGGGAGGTCTTTGGGGTCTCTAGAAATGAGACGGTAAACGGTATATGCTCAGAGTGGTTGAGTAGCTTTGCACCTTTGGTTGGAAGAAGAGGATGAGGACAGAGAAGCTAGTGTAGGTGGCCCTCGATGGGGCCACCTGGCAAACGTAGGTGTACCGCTGGGTATCTGTAGAGGGGCTTTCTGTTGGCACAGTGAGGAATGACGGGACTGCAGTCTAGAATGGAAGGCGGTGGCAGCACATTGAATGGTGGCTCCGCAAAAGATAGGTCCGCGTGCTACGCCCTGGAACCTGCGGATGCTTCCTTATTTGGAAAAAGGATCTTTGTGAATATAAATAAGTGAAGATCCATCTTAGATGCGATCCTCCTGGATTGTCCAGGTGGACCCTAAGTCCAAGGACAAGTGTTCATATGAGAGACACCCAGAAGGACACAGCGGAGGGAGCCATGTGAGCACAGGAGCAGGGACTGCAGGGATGCAGCCCTGAGCCAAGCCCACCAGGAGCCATTAGGAGCAGGCATGTCCACTAGAGGCTTCCGAGGGGGCGTGGCCCGGCTACACCTTGACGTCAGGCTCCTGGCTTCCAGAACCGTGAGGGATGCCGTTCGTTATTTCCAGCCACGGAGTTCATGGTCTTTGTGACAGCGGCCACTGGAAGCTGATACAGGAGTGTATCGGACGAGTTTTGGGCCCCGTTTCCACGTTGCCTGCCCCTTTTCCCATGAACTGTCATGGTGGATCTGCTGCCCCGTGCCACTGCACTGTACGTGTCTCTTTGCCCTGGGGTTTCCTTGCTGTCACTGGCGGGGACACATTCGTCACTCTGATGGCTTCAAGTGGCTGCCTATCAGGTGGACCACAGGTCTTACAGATTGAGGATGGTCCAGATGATTGAAAAAAAATTCTTGGACCCCTCAAGACATTTAAACCTTTATAAACACAATGTAGGCAAACCAAACCAAACCAAACCAAACCAAAACAAAACAAAAATAAACCTCTGTTTGTGATTAGTTGACCTTAGAAAGCACACTCTTTTTTATATAAATGGAAAATGCCTTGGCATCCTTTTAATAGAAACTGAGTTTTCCAGGAATATATTCACCATGTAACTTGAAGGAAGAATGTATTTTACTTGATTTGGAACTTTACCAAAACTGTTTCATCGTGTTTTGAATTTCCCACTAGCGAATGCAACATGTTGTGTTGGCAACAATATGTGAGTGTCCACACCACACATTGGACAAATCTTCATTTGTAATTTTCCTACTTAGGAATACCATAACTACAGGAGCAAGCACTTGGTTACTTAATCGTGTCTTTTAATGTTAAAAGACCTATTATTCCATTACTTTTACTGGCCATCTATCTCAATTATAATACAGTTAGGTCATTATATGGAGTTTTTAAATTTAAGTGTCAGCAGGTTGTTATTTTGTGTGTAGGTTGATAGGTTGTATTTTTCAGATAATTGCTTTGGGGGCATTAGAAATGTTTCTAATAAGAAGAGTGTATATGGATTTGGGAAATGTTAAGGTCCTGGGCAAATAGACATTTTTAAAGGCTGGGCTGATGTCCAGGTAAACTACAGAGTCGTCCGGTGAGGTTCTTTGTACCAGACGCAGGGCACCATGGGAGCAAGACTAGGGCATGTCTGATCTTGATGCATCTCATTAAGATTCTGTTTTTCTTTTTATCCTTTGTCCCAAAGGTGCTTCAGCTGCAATTAAATAATCTTCTTTGTCATCACTGGATATTTATTGAGTACCTATCATGTAAAAATACATTCTGAACAGACTCCAGCAGTGATTTTCAACCTTTTTCATCTCCTGGCACATATAAAGTAATGACTAAAATTTTGTGGCACACCAAAAGTATATATTTTTTGCCAAACTGACAGAAATATAGGTATAATTTTGATTGATTTACCCCCAAAATAATAATAGCAATTGCTTACACTTTTTGCTCCCAAGTGACTTTTTTAAAAAAATCAAGTGCCTATACTTTACGTAAGGATTTCTGGTACCAAGAATTAACCAATCAGATGCAACCTATGCA